CATCTTTGTACCAATTCACTGTTGGTCTCTCCCTCCTTTTGCTTTAGGGAGAAAAGATGGGTGAAGTGCTTTTTTGGCTGGAACCTTCCTCCATAGGCGTTGAGGAAAAGTTGAGCAAGATCTTTGAAGCAATCAATGGTCCCATTAGGAAGAGTGAGGAACCATTTTACGGCCGGCCCTTCCAAGGTTCCTACGAAGAGGCGACATTGGATCTCGTCCTCCACGGCGTGCATCAACATGTGAGTTTGGTACGCAGCCAAGTGATCATTGGGATCGGTGACTCCCTTATAACGGATTTCAGGGGCTTTCATACCCCTGGGCAGTTGAGCTTTCATCACTCTGGCAGTAAAGGGAGAAATTATCTCTACTGTGGGCCCGAAAGACCCGTCCTTGTCAACCTGCCTCTTTAGTTCCTCCATTTCTTTTCTCAATTTGAGGATGTCTCCGGCATCTTCATTTCCGTGCCCCCCAGAATTTTCTCCAGATTCCTCAGTCCTGGGCCCCAACCTTTGGGACGCATTTTTGCGCATCCTCTTATGTACTGATATGCGCCCTTGACTTTCCACCTCCTCATCCTCTCCTTGACCTGTTCCTCTCCCGGTCCCTTGGGACCGGGCCTCTCCTTCCTTGTTGAGCCACCAGATTAACTTTCGGACTATGGGGGAGTTGGCGTCGAATTTTTATGCTGCTGCCTGGGAATAGTTTGGATGAGAACTCTTAGGGGCTTTAGAGTGGAAACTGCGTTCACCAGATTTGTCTTATGTTTCACGCCTGGATTGGGAGAGAGTTATTTGGTGTCTGAGATCCTCAGATGAAAGCTTCTCTTTCCCTTCCAAGTTGGTTCGCGCCTTAGCGGCAATTTTGTTCCTCTTGGACCGATTTTTGCCCATAGTAACAGTTGGAAACCTTTTCTTGATGAAAAAGGCGGACCAACGGGAGATAGCGGCCCCTGAGCAAGAAATCGGTCCTCCTGTATGACCGGCTGATAAATGCGGTCCTCTGTGGAAGATCGGCCCTCCTTTCACTCTTTTTTTTTTTTTGAACAATGGACCGACTAAAAAGAGGAGTCCTTCTGGGTGGACCGCGAACTTATCTCCTTCACTTGGAATGGACCGCTAATTCTCCCTAGGTCTAGGAAGAGGTCTTTCCGAGTGAACAAGAGCGAGATAGGCTCGCCGAGAAGGTTAAGAAGCTTCAATCGGTCCCACGGGTGGCGCCAGTGATGGATACCCAATATTTTCCCAAGGACTGTAGATCGGCCTAGGTCCAAATATAGGTATCCGGGCCTTATAATATTGAAAGATAATACAAGAATAATAATTAATAGTAATAGAAGCACTGCTTACTAGATAATAACTCAAATCGGCAGTCCTCTCCTTTATTCGGTCCTCTCAGGAACGGAATATGCTTGAGGATCGCCAGAATATCTTTTATTATTTACTCACGTATTTTCTCCCCTCATTACAAGATATCCTCCATTCCCCAAGTCCCTCTTTCTTTTATAGGCACTCCCCATCCATTATCCTCTTCAATAATGGCAGTGATTGGGGGAATATTCGTGCCAGCCTTCCTCCATCTGGGGGGATGTATCTCAGCTTGAGGCCGTCCACTGGAGGACAAGCCTGTCCGTCCATCTCTTGCTCCCTGTCCGTCCCTTTCCCCTTGTCCTTGTCCCTTCAATTAGGGGGGACTGCTCTAGACTCTTCCATACGATTTCTTTCCTTTGGGGTAGCTTAT